ATACTTCCTCTCCTTGCGAAACTACTGCATTATCTTTTCAACCACCTTCAGACACCGAGCTCTGCGCACTGGCCGTCTAGGTGTAAATCCAGTGGAGGCGCGCCGCTGGCCCTATGCACCTATCCCTGAATACCGCAATGAGCCAAGCTATTCTGCTTTGGGCTCAGAAAGCTCTTCAGTAGTCTTCAGTCTGTTCTTTTCATCCGTAAACCACTTCAAACGTGACACAGCTCATTCCGAAGACTCAGAAGATGAGGTTGGATTGGCAGACATTGCTGAATCTGGTTCTAGTGGCCGACGTTATCAGTGTGCCGAAGAAGTTACTCGACGAAAATCAGGCATATCAAGTTTTGGCCTCCTTGCTCAGGCTCGAATCTTTATGGCTCGATGTACTAGGCTTGTTAACTTGATTCAAGGCCGCCTTTTGCAGGTATGCTTGTCGGAGGCCGATCGCCAGACGAACCGGCGCCGTAGCACTCTAGCTATGACTCCTCCTGAAATAAAACGACGGTCTGCCAGAATCAGCCATTCTGATCCTTCGCATGTCCATCCATGTTGGAATCGACGAATGAGTTTGGCTCTTTCCAACTTGTATGGTCATGGGAAGAGCTATTTTCGCGTGCAATACACTAGTAAGTGGGCATTAAGTGATTCTATAAATGAGGCGGAAAGTTCCATATTTATGTTTTATGGCTTGATTTTATTATACTCTTAACTATTTTATTCTGCAAACATCTGTTGTTTTAAATAAAGCAACAATTTTTATACATTAGTGTATGTTCAAAGGGCTGCATCATAGGCTATGTCCAGGATCATTGTGTGCCTCATTGCCTTGTGCACGCCTGATTCTTCTATAGGTACACTTTTGGAACAAATATCTAGTTATGTGAGATGTATCGAGACTACAGGTAAATCAGTTATATGAGATATAGTTGTCTCGAAACTATACTTATATACGACAAATTCCTAGTCTCACAGATTTCATATTTGATTACGTCTGTTCCAATTTCGAACGCGCGAAGAAATCCCCTCATATTAAACTAATATTGTTAACATGGATTCAGGAAATTTAGACGACTATTGTTAAAAGATAAGTAAATAGGCCCCCAAAATGGAAGGGAAAGAGAAAAATGGATCTTATTTTGCTTATATAAGCATAGTTTCTCATATTAATGAGAAATTATAATTTATAAAAAGTATCGAAGTTGTTTGACCTTGTTCTCACAACATGGTCATATTGGTAGGAAGCTTTAGAGGAGCACACCTAGTCCAGAGTCCATTGTCTGCATGATCATTTCCAAAGTTGAACCGTGGACGTGGTACATTCCC